TCTCAAGGGGCTGGTACACTATTTAAGGTCTGTTAAGTTATGCAAGAGCCATTCGAGGCATCTCTTTCAACCCTAAATTTTTTATTTTATTTACTGCTCTAATTTCCCTGAGTTTGCAAAATTGTAACGCTTTTTTTTCTAACGCTCTATGCTGGCTTTATCAATAAACGAGCTAATACCCGCTCCTATTCCGTGTTTTGTGGTTATTTAGATTAGTTACAAAATTTTTATAATCGTTTCAGTGTGATTAGAATATAAAACATCTTTACCTTTTACAAGTGTTTAAAAACACCTTCAAACCCCGCTTTTTTCTTTTCCACCGTGATTGACTGACTTTATAGCACTTAGGCCGGACTTCGGCCGTGAAAATCACTTCCGCTGTCCACGCAGGGGTTTTAGGGGAGTCGTATTTCTTCTCTCCTCCCCTAAAAACGCTGGCTTAGAAAGGGTCTTCATGAAATTTTCAAGACAGCTCTTTTTAAATTTCACAAGAAACACGTAAACAGGAATACTTCATGAAAATCAAACACGTTTATAATTTGATAATTTACAATGATAGGCTAAATGTTTGTTCTACATGATATGGTTTCCTTCGTCAAAACTCACTTTGCTAAAACAAGACTTAATACATAAAATTAAGATAACGTTTACTTGTACGTTACAACAGAACTATAAAACCACTTCTCGCCCTAATCCAAAGAGCTATTGAAAACTCAAAACCTCACAATTTGCACTTCCTGAACAAAAAAACGCTGAAAGAGCACATGCCAGGAGAAGAATCGCGCTGGCCAGTGGTACTCTGGCTCCATTGCACAGGTTACCCTGGCAGCAGTTGACTTTACACTTCTTGATTGTAGCTCCTTTTGGAGCAAATGCCTTGCAGAGCTCCTCGTTGCCACAGGCTGATTTTGCGCTACATTTTCTGGCATAACCTTCTACTGACATAGCCAGGTCTCCTGATTTTGAATGTTAATGAATATTGGCGCAGGTTTCCTTACCAGAATCACAGGCCACCTTTTTCTGGATAGAGGCACAGTCATCCCAACTCTTAGTTGACACACAGTGGTAGCACTGGAGACCGCGTTCTGTGATAAGAAAAAGAGTAAAACCATTGTTCCTCCTGTGGTCTTTATATGAGTCGTCAAGTAGCTTTCGTTTCTCTCAGTTAGCCCATTCGGCCTTTGGCTTCATGGGCTATCGACTCAGAGCCAGTTCGGGCTCAAGGAAAAATATTCACGACGCTAGGCGGTGAATATAAAGCCAAACAAACTCGCTGTCGTAAACTGGGTGTTTTGCCAAAGTTTCAAAGTAAGAACTTTTTGAAAATACAAGAATATCCTGGTGTTGATGATTCTGAAGGTAAGAAAAGACTTCACCGTGATTGAACAGCGTGGTTTACTGTGAAAAGGTTTACTGTAGCTGACGTTTTATACGCTCGAAGCAATGTTTACCACTACACAGCAAAATTGCCGCGGCTGCTTTGTCACTGTGTTGTGAACTCGGGATTTCCTGGCAAGACCAATTTTGCCTATAAATAGAAGTTAATTTATGGAGAGAAAAAGGAAGGCATGTATTTTTGAAAATTGTACGTGGCAGCTAGTTAACAAGGCAAAGACCACTGTGGAGAAACAACACTCACCTCGATCGTGGCCGCTGTTACAGCATTTGCAAGACGCGACAAAAAAAAAAACAAACAAACAAACAAACAAACAACTCAGTTAATACTGCTGAATATTAACTTCGCATTCGGCGAATAATTGTTAATTAGCCAATTAGGAGTCCTTATTCGTTATGCAGGGGCGTGTAGAAATCCTAAAGGGGTAGGGGAGGGTGGTAGAGGACAGAGTAGCAAGCCATGTCAACGCTGAATAAACAATTACAGCCGTTCCATTTTGATTGAAAATGTTCTTGCGTTAAATGAGTAAAGTCAGCAGCGAGAGTTGCCACTGATTTAAGTGGTGGTTACTTTAAGGACGTTTTGCCAATAATTATAAACGGCAGGCGTGAGATTAGTTTGTTTGCAGTTTGTATTCCAAGACTTTTGTTTGAAAACTAAAGCTACCTGTATGTTATGCAAAATAATTTGCGTAATACAGATCGAAACCCCCGACCCCTGGAGGTCTAAGACAATCTCGCTAACAAAACTTTCATGAAGTTTTACTTTGCAAGCGTATCACCTTCATTTAAATTTCTGCTCAAATATTTTGTTTAGTCAGTTTTTTAATGAGTAAGACATCGATTAGTGCAACCACAAGAGTGAACAGAAACTCTTCTTTTTTGATCTCGTCCTACATAGAAACACTGTTTTGGTGCTACATTAGTTGCATTTCAGCCCGCTTTTAAAATTCGCTTCTAAATTGTGCTGCCTAAATTGCCACTGATTACGACGGTTTCTCTATAAAATAGGCGCAAAGGACGGCAGGATGGTGAATGATGGAGGAACGTCTCTCACCTTGGCCAGTGGATAATCGCGGGCGAAATCATTGCAAGCATAGTTGATATGAAGAAGAACAATAGAGCCAATCCCGTCCCGTCAAGTCTAGTCCCGTCCCAGAATGGACGGCACTAAATGACATCTATCGATATCAGTTTTAGTGCCCCGCAGTTTTGAGGGAAAACATAGCAGGTACGAGGTTATTGGGGATGTCTATGAAGGCAACTAAAGCGATTGAGGGGAATATGTGTTGGTACATTTTCGCTCCCATAGAATACGTAAATACTAAAAGCATCGGTGCCCAGTGGTCATGATGAATGTTAGTCTTGCGGGCTCATAAACCCGCGAGTACTCGTCAGTACCTTGGTTCTAAAAATATGGTTTAAGTATCTGTTTAAAGTGTAGTTTTAATACAAAATATGTTTCAAATAAAGGGTGAAAATTTGTTAAGTTATATAAAAAGTATTCAAATAGACCTCAAATACATTTTAAGCTCATATGGGGAACAGGGAGATTGCTTTTCTCGAGATTCTCAGCGTATCACTCAGAAATGACCACAAACTCAGATAAAGTTTAAAAGCCTTTAATTTATTTTAAAGAATGACATCAAATATATAGAAACTGACAAAAGCTGGACATTCGTTTATGAAATAGGCCACTGTCGATTTATCCATTGACGTCATGACATGAAAACACGAGGAAGAAGAGTGATGACTTTCGTTTCTTCTGGTTTTCTTGGCCTGGCTATGAATTTGGATAATGGCACGATTTATCAAAGTGACCCATACCGAAGCCCCTACAATATTTTATCTTACTCCTGCCATTCAAAAATTTATTATTATCATTATAAAATGAAGCAATATTGTTAAGTAAACATGTTATTTGTCGGAAATTGAATGTTATTTTTTCCGAACTGCCCTGATAATCCGAATCTTCACTTTTCATACCCAGACGTGGGTTTCCCAAGTGATCTGCTAATGACACTACTTGAAAGAACGCAAATAAAAATCTAAACTATAATCACTATAATTATTATCCAACACCAGAAAAGGTCTCTACAATAAGTAAGCTTTTTTCCTTCTACTGCTGCAATATTGTTATGGTGAACCGAAGTGCCTTTTATCACCTTACTCCTAATGTCACCTTTTTGAGTCAACAGTTCGTTTCTCCAACATGACATGACATGTTTATTGCGAGTGGCAATGTTTTAATCTAATCCAGCCGATTGAAACGTTTTTAACATTGAATTGTAGCCACGGAATTATGTGGTAGGTTATGTGGCGTCTGAGGAACTCTGAAGGCTATGATCAGTCACACTATGCCGGAAAGTCCTTGCACCGACACGAAAATAATACCGGATTTTGCTTTTGTCAGTTCATGTAGAAGAGCGGTGAATTTCCGGCTACTTCTGCTAAGGAGCGAAACCGCGCTGCGCCACCGCCGATCTTTAAAAGTGGATCGTCACATATCGCCGGGATAGGTTTCTGCCACTTTTCGTCTCAGTGTGAACAGGTCTTCAAGTAAAATGAGTGAGGGAGTGCGTGGGCTGGGAGCCAGTTATATGAAAGTATATTTTCAGGAGAGAAGATTGGGATTTAGTTCACCAAACTGACCTCTCGGCCAACCGACCGCTCTGGTGCGATGTTCGATGGGTGTGGACGACTTGTTCCAGTTCTATACGGTTGTCGTTCATACTACCGGATACATTTTCATGTCGACACAAAAATCTATTTCCGGTATAGTGTGGACAGACTAAAAAAGTAAAAGAAGCAATCCAAACTACTAACAACTTAATAGTCGTTTGTAGAGGATGAACCGATTTTAGTCCCTTCAATTGTTATATTTCCAGTGCTATTCAATATTTTCTCGATGTCTTTCAAATGAAATTAAATATTATTAGCTATCTTATTGTAAAAACCCACTAAACAGTTGCGCTCATCATCTCAGTCCTGTTACTTGCTGGGCGAGGGAACTCCCATATGAAAATGATGGGGTTGTTAGTCTCTCTTAGACGTAGACATTGCAGTTTTTGGTTTCAATTTGGCTGTGCAGGACAAATAGCCAATATTTTTAACCATAAATGTATCACCAGAAACTCATAAGGGGTTGAATAACCCCTATGAGTTTCTGGTATCACTTAACCCCCTGCAAACGGACGTAACTATGTTGGCCAACAACTTGCAACATTGTTCATCATTGTTGGAAGTTGTTGCGTCCGTTTGTGCGTAGCTTTAGGGTTGTGCGTAAAGAAATATCTACTATGAAAAGACGTTGTCATCATGAGTTAGAGAGTGTTCTACTTTGGCTGTCATTTCTGATCGCAACTGAGGAGACTGGTTATGAATACTGGCAAACAGTGAGGATGAAAACAACGGTGTTCAGTTTCCTGGTATAGTTTCTTGGTGTTGCTGACGGTGTAACTGCAATTATTATAATCTACTTATCCGTCGAGCATTCCCCTATGCTTTCATACTGGAGCCCCCACCTTTCCCCCGAGACCCCTATAACAATCTAAAGAAAAAAAAGGTGCTTTGGCAAAAATTAAACTATAGAGACCCTATAGAAATTACTGCTTCGTATCAAGAGTACTAGTTTTACTGGTGTTAGTAGCGGATGCCTCACGGTAACATGGCTGGTTCTGATCCAATAGTCTGAAATAATAGTAAGGGGTATCTTCTGTCATCATCTCTTCTAGTATCGGGATTAGTTGAATGAATGAGGGTCGTTCATTTGGATCCTCCTTCCAGCAGTCCATCATCAATTTGTATCTGTTGAGAAAGGAAGCCGTAGTTTAAAATACCACTACACAAAGATATGTCTCCATTTACTTTGAATATTGAAGACACTTAATATGTTCTATAGGCTCTTTTTAGAATGGTGCAACGTAAAGGATAGAGGCGCGCTGCAGTTTCCACTCCTTTGAAAAGGCTGACAATTTTAGAAAAAAAAAAAACTGTTTGAAGGACTTTGTAACTATTTCTTCATCGTGCTCTCTTTTCGAGCGTCTTTTATTATTTCTATTCTGACTTACATTTCATCGCTGCACGTGTTGGGTTTCTCCATCCGATATCCAGAGTTAAGTAAACTGCATAGCCTCATAGGGGTTATCCCAGGGTATGGAGTACCCCCTGAAATAACAAAATAAAGATCAATGCTGTCTTATCAAAGATTATCAGGCCTTTCTAATTTTTCATTTTGAAATGGCTGGTGATCCCTGCAATCTGATTGGCTCTCAGCAGTGTGATTTATTTACGAATCACACGATCACATCTGTTCTAAATCGCGTTATTTATGTTCTAAACCACGTCGCACCGTCGCACCTTGCTTTATATCACATCATTTCTGTTTCGAAAACAAAATGAGATGTAAAACCCCTTTTGTTTCCGCTTTTCCAAAGGCTATTTGATCTGCCCACAGGCAAGTCCTTCCTTATGGTTCTCGATCTAAGGCACGCCTCTTGACCGCTACGTAAGAGCTGCCATCCTTCACTCTAGTCAGTATTCCCGCTGGAAGTCTTCCAGATGGTCTCTTTCCGGGTATTCTTCCCTCAATAACTAATAAGACATGATCACCATGTCGCAGAGTATGACCAAGCCAGCTTCTCTGTCTTCTGTTAATAACAGATATGATGGCCCTCTCCTCACCGACACGCCTCGGTACTTCTTCGTTACAGCCTTCGCACGTCCTTCAGAAGAGTACCCCAGATGACAGTCTTTATAATTCTCTTCTTCAGGCAAAGGCTAGCGCGCTGAAGGCTTTTGTCAGCAGTTCTTTTTTCTTAGTAAACGCGTTTTCGGGCTATTCTCGATCTAATTTATTTTTCACAGGATCCATCCTGTGTTATAAGGCTCCCAAGGTAGTTAAAGTGAGACGATTCTTGACTTAATTGATTATCCTCAAGAAAGATCGTAAATTCCTCACCAGGCTTCTTACTGATTTTCTTCACCTTAGTCTTCTTAACATTGATCTTCATATTATATTCCCCACGTGCTTTCCTCCATTTTACCCGTCATAAGTTGCAGACCTTTAACTGAACTGGCTAAGGTTGCTTGATCATCCGCAAAGCGCACTGTCTTAATGAAGATGACCTCCCACTCGAAAACCTTCATTCACACCACTTAAGAGCAACTCCATGCAAATATCGACCAAAGTGCGGCAAGGCTCAAAAAATAAAAATCGCTCTTCTTTTGCATACTGATAGACTTTAGTAAGTGTACAAACGCCATGTAGTGTTTTCTTCGAAAGATCTGTTCGTTTCCGAGAAAAACAAGAAAACCGTTTCAAGCCCCGCCGTCGATTTCGCAAGGCGAAAACAGGGTTGAAATTCACTATGATTCGCTCGACTTGCATTTCAAAACAACCGCGCTAGAAAAAAAGCTTGTTGCTAAAATTGTAAGTATAACTCGTCGTTGACCAAAATATGTAATATTTTTAGCCTTACAACACTCTGAGTAATTATAAAAAAGCTAAAGCGTATGTCTACCTGTTGTTCAACCACGGAAGGTAGTTGAAAAAAGCGACGATTTTCGTCATGTGCTTTTGATCAGAATTTTTCAAGATTGAAGGGGAAAACACTACAAGCATCAAACTATTATGTTATGTTAAAATTATTTTGGGGAAATCATTTTGAGCTTCTCAGAAATTATTTCAAATTCGAGTTACAGACAACATAAAATAACGGCATCCAACACTTGAGTGACACGACCACCACCAACAATTTGACTTTAGGTTGCCGTTTACAACGCTGGTAGCCTTAATATATAAAACAATTTTTTAAAAAAAGCTCACCTTAACCTGTATCTGTTGTACTTTAAGCTCCAAGTTGTTTCATTTTGCCGCCTTATCACCTATCTTACCGTAGTCGTGAAGTCCGCTGGAATGTGTCCGTTGGAGGTGCGTGACAGCTTTCTGGTGATTTCTTCATCCCTCTGTTTTCTCTAATGTTTTCAAGTTAGCATCTCATGTTTGTTAAAAATTTTGAGAACCCTAGACCTTAAAAAAAGCCGTCTATACTTGCTCGAGGATCCGTTCACTTCAACTAATCTCATTTGCATAGGAGTGTGCCA